GTTTGACTTGGTTATTATATTATTAATTTGAAAAACATAACTATATTGTGCTAAATTTTAGTTAAGATTTCAAATAGCCGAATTATCACTAAAGGCTTACGATCGAATCGAGCAAGCATATATTTTTTCTAAAAATAATTCCAGCTTAATATCCTCAAACATTTAAAGACAATACATGATAATATAGTTTAAAGATTGTTGAAGCATGCCACAAAGACTTATTCAACTTACAAAATGATATTGTACCTTAAAATTAAAACATTAACCTCGTGTCTGAGTGATAGAGATCACTTACGACTTTATGTCCCAGACGGATCCAGATACTTCAATGCGTAGCCGAACATAAACAGTTCCGCACGTTCTCATAGTCTGGAAAATAAATTTAATATGTTGTGTCAAGATCTTTTTACACTTCCTGTATCTTCCTGCAATGACTTTTGATTGTTTTGTAATACAAGTCTTCCGTGTTATTCTTACAGACAGTGAATGCGTGTGGAATTGTAATATTCGACTTTATAAGATTATATGAATGTGCACAAGCTGGGACTGCAGTTGTAAGTGTGCGGAATTACATAGTCTTAGGAAATCTGAAATTATTTATCTGACATCCCGATGTGAGCTCAGAAGTAGAATAACCCAATAACGGAATGCTTCAGATATTTTTTATTTGTATATATAGGTATTTTCTTTTTTGACTTACTAAGGATATTAAGTTGAAGTGAAAGCCAAGACCTGGTTTATGAACTGTTTGCAAAACAATACGTATGTTACAAATATCATGTCTTATACAAATTGTGTAATTTCATGAACAAGACAGCAATGCTATGGAGACAAAGCTCAAATGAAAGTGCTTTTGTGTTATAGAAAAGTGCTTCCATCAATTACAATAAATAATTTGGGGCAAGAAATATCGGGTTTTACAGCAATTGGGGAAGATGAAAAATAGAAATAGTTGCGTCGTTGTGACTTTACCCGGTTAGAAGTAGGCTACTATAATTTGACATTGTTTGATTCAATAGTGTCGGAGAAAATATTTTTTCCTTGAACCGCAATACCAACCATAACAATTTAGCAAATCTATTCATATGTATACTTTGTGTCCTATAATATCAATTTTGATTCTCAGACTTAAATATTGAAAACGTTGATATTATAATGAAATACGAACTATACAGGATTAGGTGGTGCTTTGTTGTTGTTGTTTTCCTTGCCATCTTCACAAGCGAATTTTCATCATGTGCTCACGGAATCGTCAACAACATAGTTGCCAGATACTTCAATATTTCACCATCTTCGGTTGACTTGCTACCGAGTGCCACGTTTTGGGTTGGATCCCTCGTTCTGGTTGTCATGTCATTATTTCACAATCATATCAGAGTTCGAGCACAGTGTATCATTTTAACAATTGGTGGACTTTTGGGCGCAATAACGGTGGCAATAAGATTTCTACATAAGTATTAAAGCTAATATGAGATTTATATAAAACCTATGTAAAAGATAAATTGTATGATCTCGAACATCACACACCACACCACTATATTTTGTTGAATATTTATTTCCAATTATTGATCATCTGTGATGGATATTTTAAATTTGAATCATAGCTTATGGGACATGTTAAATATATAATTTGTTTTCGGTATATTTTTACCAGAATAAACACAAAAAGTGTTGTACAATATCAAACAAAGTCCCGCTTTTCAGACATTTGAAAAAAATACACATATATTCTCGAATTCCTAAATATGTCAAACCTTTTTTAGCGACTTCTACTATTTCGTTCTGATGGGACAAATTTTCATCGGAATTTCGGCAGGAATATCATACGTCATTCCGGCAATTTTGGCAGCAAACTGGATTTCTGAAAAAGAAGTCGGGACGTCAATTGCGATCGAATTCAGTGCAATTCATGCTGGTCAAATGTTATCATCTCTGCTATATACTTTGCTATTGAATGACGTACTGGACAGTTCGAAAGGAAGGTTTGATTCTGAAAAAGTTCGAAATGTTTTTGCAATGAGTTTTGGAATTATTTCATCGTTTTTGATAATTTGCGTCATATTTGTCTGCTCATATGCAAAAAATCACCCACCAAGTCCGCCAAGTGCATCTCAAGAAAAAATTTTGAACGAATTAAATCAAAAAAGGACTGTATTGAGTATGGAAAACATTCTCGAGAGCCTGAAGAAAACTGCATCACATTACCGAAATATTAACTTTGTTTTGATAACAATTATAGTGTCTCTTGACACATCTTATTTTGCAATGACAAAAGTTCTCGTCACATCGTTACTGATGAAAACGTTTCCAGATGTTCCAGAGACACTCCCAGGAACCATTAGAATTGTAGGCAACATGCTTGCTGTTCTCTTCACCGTAGCAGCTGGGCCGCTAATGGATAGATTTGGACGTTACAAGTTATTTAGTGCTTTTCGTAAGTAAACTTTGAATAACAATTGTTATTGGTTTTCTGGTTTAAACAGGATGCAATAAATTTGTCCATTGGTCTCAATGGCAGCATATATAGTTGATGTATATATATATAAATGCATCATGACGTATAAATTGTGACAATATACATATAGAATTAAGTTATTTCGTACTGGTAGTGGTGGTAAAGTCATAGAGCACTGCTGGAACGTTCGTCTTTTAGTTTTTATTACAGCACTCTATGGGGTGCACGATTACTTTTCTGGGTGGGCCAGTCGCAGATAATAGACTAGGCTAACGTTTTATGTAATAATAAGAAGCACAATGTAACAATCGGGGGCATCATGACGTTATTTTCAACGTAGATTTATATCCATAATTACTATAGTTGTAATTTCAGCAGACACAAGTGGGCCGGATGAAACACTTTGATGGGCCGGTTCCGGCCCGCGGGCCTTCATCTGCCCACCTCTACTATATGTGAATGAGGGAGGCAATGCCAAATTATTATCCCAAACGCGGTTCAATTGAAACTAATAAGTTTTCTAAACTTTGAAGCTAGTTCTTTTTATTTTCAGCTATTGCTGGACTTATACCAAGCTGCATTTCTATATTACTTGCACATCATTACAAGTGCCTGAAAGCGCTCACATTTTTGTATCCGTTAACGATGGGACTGCGTGGATTTTCGGAAGTAACTCTTGTGGAATATTTAACAGAGGTTACCTATCCTGCAGAAAAAGTCACTTTGATGTGTACTCATTACATACCTATGCTCGTGTTCCAGAGTATTTTCATTATGGTGGAAAGAGTTTTGATGGAGAGTTTTAATGAGACTATTGCAATAATGGTACCTCTAACTGCTTCTGTGGTTTCCCTCCCTATGCTTATGGCAGTAACCTCAGTATACCACCGGTCGAACGTGAACAGTTATGAAAAGACTCCTCTCCAAACCAAGCAGACAAATAAGAGATGTAATAAATAATGATGATTATACATAGAGTAAGTCACTAATATAGTGGACTGCCCGGCTAATTATGATTTTGTTTGATGCCTATTTAGCTTTGCTAATAGTTTAATACTTCCTTTATTGAACTCGTGATTATTAAACTCTAGTTTGTGAATCTGTCTTGCATTTTGATTGTTTTTGTGAAGTATTCTCTGTGATTTTACTGTATTTCATTGTATCTTAGTTATGTAAGAGTCTCATTTGGATGAAAATGTTTGTATTGTATTGTAGGGTTCAGTACTGTTACTATAGTGCTTATCCGTTCATGTTTATTTCAGTGTTCAGCATTTATATAAATATAAGATTCGATTAATTTGTTTACCTTGGCTAAAAACAGTTGGTAAACAATAGAATTTGTTTGCATGTTGGTTATTTTATGCGGCAAATTCCTAACGATTATAGTGCGTTTTGTTTTCTTTAGAAAACCTCCATCGATATTCGTCATCTGTTTCCGTAATCCAGTTGGATGCATCAGACATCTCGATTGTATATTTTGTGGTGAGCAAGTGCTTGATACTTTCACGACACATTACAATTCTCCTGTGTTTAAAGTTGCGTATTGTGGGCTTGTGGATTTCAGCTTACTTATCAGTCCGGTATGCTCGATAGCAGTCCTAAGTTAACACCACCAGTTGTCTAACATTCACCCCGGCATTCGATATGGCATCTGTTAGCAGGATACAGAATGTAGTTTTTTTAAAGTCTACCAGCATTTATAATTTTCATCTATAACAGGATACTAAATGTAGGTTTTTTTAAACCTAAGGGCTTCTACAATTTTCTATCTACAACAGGATGCCGATGAATAAAGTAAAACGGTTCATTATCTTTAAACCCACGTCCATTTGCCCCTAGGACAATTGCACCTGCATATTTTTGCACTCACGGACATTTGAACCCATGAATAATTGCACCCCCAGATTTTTACACCCACATACAGATTGCACCCATGAACATTTGCATCTACGAACATTTGCATCCATGTACATTTGCATCCACGGTGGACACTTCCACCCGCGGACATCTGTACCCACGTATATTTGCACCCACATACATTTGCACCCACCCATGCACAGTTGCACCCACGTACATTTGCTCCCATGTACATTTTCACTAATGCACACTTGCACCCATGTCACTTCTTTTTTGATAGCCCGGAATCTATATCGACGAGACACAATGAAAACGTATCGAACGCGCCACTCTCAGCCCCTTTGTCCACAAACAAGACACCTGCATAAATCACTTCTTTATATTCTTGGCAAAGAACAGCGGTTTTCTTAAATAAATAAAACAAAATTGATTAACACAAGTCAAAGCATATAACGACAACAAAAGGCAAATTTCTCACCAAACGTTTTCAGATCCGGGAGGCTAATACAATTAAAATATATAACAGATAAATAAAAAGTCCACAATACAGACAAATATCTGCGACTCTTTACACGACGAATACGTGATGCAAATGACCGAAAGGAAAACGCTAAACCAGACAATAGATAATAATACTAATTTACGCTACAAACAAAAGAGTAATAATGGGTCTACAATGATTGGGTGCAAGGCAGAGCACGATGCACTGCATACAGTGGCAAAATATACGACAAACGTACGTTTACAACGTAACATACCCCCACCCGAATATATGACCCAGGGAATATTTTCTAAAAAATTAAACGTTGTAAATGAAACAATAATTCAATCCACTATTTTTGGTCTTCTAGAAATCGACATAGTTTAGTAATGGGTCGTCTGACAACATTTGTGCCGGTTCTCACCAACACTGAGCGGACGAGTCCATGTTTGTCTGGGAAGGTATTTATAACCCTCCCAACAGTCCATCGACCGCGAGGAATCGATTCATCAACTAGCAGAACCATATCGTCGACTTTGAAGTTATCACGTCCTCTCGTCCATTTTGACCTTTGTGTTATTGTTGGCAGGTACTATTTAATCCATCGACGCCAGAATTCATCAACTAGCAGTGGCTCCAACTTCTCATGAGTAATCGATTGACCTGTCAACAATACAGTTAGAATTCGTTTAGTTGATTTAATCATTCTTTCAAAAACGCCACCCATATGACTGGCGTATGGAGGATAAAAGTTAAATTCTACATCACGTTGACGCAGATAGTTTGCAATACTTTGCTCGTTCCATTTGCTAATTGATTCTTTCAATTCGCGACAAGCATCTACAAAATTGCTTCCATTTTCGCAATATATGTGAACAGGACGACCTCTGCGTCCAGTAAAGCGTCTCAATGCGTCAATGAAGTCGTCTGGCTCTTTGGGTTTATCACAGGATGATGTGGTAATAACCATTTTGTTGGATAGATGTTCGGCGACCTAGGACTGTCAGCTATACGAGCGTATCCTTTATCAACATAACCATTCAATGTCTGAATATATTTTTGGTGCAATGTGTCATCTTTTAAAAGACGTCGCTTTAACTGACGAAGGCGATTCTCCGCCACTTTCTGATTACATGGTAACTCGCGATGATTGATTTTCCACAATAAAGGTAGTTCGTAATGTCCATCAACAAATTTGAGTTTGTCTTCCATGCAACTACGCGCTATTCTATCTTCGCGGGAAGTTTTAGTGTCACAAATACTGGGGACGTCAGCAAAATCCGTACGCCAAAGTCGCTCAATCTGCGACGCCAAAGGATTTGTATCAACGAAATTAATGGAAGTGTTTTCATAGACGGTCAGAGACGGACCCATAAGAGACCAACCCAGAGGGGTTTTCACCGCAATCGGCTGTTGACTCCGACCCTTTCTAAATTCCTCCCACACAAACACTTCGGGAACATCCGCTCCTATCAGCAAAGTCACTTCACCGTCGTGTATTCGAGGAAAGTCGATATCAGACAAATAGGATAGCTTACGCAAGGAACTGCGCGAGGGTAGCTTATTGGGCTTTATGGGCAAGTTACTGACGCACAATACATTGGGCAATTCAATGCATTCGTCATGTCCGTCAATTTCTTTAACGAGTAGAGGGGACAACTTCTTTGCTTTAACACATTTGGGACGATTACCAACAGTTTGCAATGTAACATCTGTAGGCACCCCGGTTAGATTTAATTTGTTCATCAATTTCACACTACACATGGTGGTTGTAGAAGCGCAGTCCAAAAGAGCGTATGTATCAAAAGCCCTGTTGCCAGCAGTTACTGTCACCGGGACGATATTCATGTAAACACCGGTGTTCCCTTGTTGCTTTGCGGGCGCCAATTTATTAGCGTGAACGTCGTGATCCGCATGGTTCATCGAGGTACCGACGGAACAAGTCTGTTTACTAATACCATCTCGCCGTGTAGGTGTCTCGAAATCGCGATGCAACAAAACATGATGGAACGGATACTTACAATCGTGAATGGGGCAACTTTCATTCTGGGTGCACTGTCTAAACATATGCCCTCGTCTTAAGCATTTGAAGCACAACTGATTCCGTCTAGCCACGTTATATCGTTCGTACCATGAAAGGACTTTAAATTTCTTACAGTTGAATAATTCGTGAGAGAAATTACAACACGGGCAGTGCCAATTTGAACCACTAGCAGAAATAGCAAAAGCACTACCTTTCGCCTTAGAATTTTCATAATAATTTAATTGCCTTCTATCTCTTCGGGCAAAACGAAAGTCTGATCTTGAAACATTAGCTTGCTCGGTGACAAATTTAGAGAGGTCGTTGTAACTAGCTTCACGATCCTCCGTTTCTAAAATTGTTGCCACTTTGAAATCCCAAGCGTTTTGCGACTCTGATGGCAATCGTTTAACAATGGCCAGCAAATTGTCAAAATTATTAAGATTGTCGTACTCACTGATTTCTCCAAGAACTAAGCCACATTTCCGCATCAGTCGCGCATACGCTTGCATACCTTTCGCGTCGTCAAAGTTCAACTTCGGACCACGCTTCAACCTGTCCAAACAGGTGCGGGAAATGACACGATCTTTACCATATTCATTCTTCAGCTCTCTCATAGCTTCGCGATATCCGCGACTCGGTTCAATCATTGAGCAATGATCAATGGCATTTTCGCTTCGCCCTGGCACAGCTGTAACAAATAACTCAGACGTACGTTATCATCATCTACAAGATCTGTAACATGGGCCTTAAAGTTGCGGACAAAGGAATAATATTCCATTGGATCACCTGAAAATTTTGCAATTTCTGGTTTGGGTAGATCGACAGTTCTGCGATGTAAAGCATGGTTCAAACGTGGGGGCACAGGATTAGCTGAGCTACTATCAGCTGTGTGTGTAGGCAAAGTCGGCAAACGCCGTGGAGTATTTTCACGACCGTTATCAATGAGCTGCGATTTAGGTGGGAAATCACGGGATTTCAAGCTATTGTCGTGCCTAATTCTATCTACTGTTACCCACCGCAAAAATTCGTCATCGCTCATTTCCCAAACCTTTGATTCTGTTTCAGCAGCCTGTAAAGCGTGTCTTGTCTGAAGCTTACGCAAGTCGTATTCTAAAGCTGAGAGTTCTTCTTCTTGACGGGCCTTTAGGCGTGCCAGCTCCAACTTCACTCTTGCATTCCGGACGGAGAAAGTCGATGACGCTGAAGAACTCACGTCGCTAACGTCACTGGAACTCCTGCAAACATCTAGATGAGTTTTAAATTCATTAAAACTGCCAGGAGCATTGCTAATCATTGCCTGATGTTGGTCATCCGACCTACCACCGGTTGCCATTATTGAGAACCCGAATTAATGTTTGAAACCCTTTGGTTGAAAACTTGAGAATTTTGGTATTAACGTTAATATCATTGAAAACTTCACAAATTATGTTTGGAGACTTGAAATCGTTTGAATTTTGAAGCCCGTTTGAAAACTTTTATGTCACGTCTTTTTTGATAGCCCGGAATCTATATCGACGAGACACAATGAAAACGTATCGAACGCGCCACTCTCAGCCCCTTTGTCCACAAACAAGACACCTGCATAAATCACTTCTTTATATTCTTGGCAAAGAACAGCGGTTTTCTTAAATAAATAAAACAAAATTGATTAACACAAGTCAAAGCATATAACAACAACAAAAGGCAAATTTCTCACCAAACGTTTTCAGATCCGGGAGGCTAATACAATTAAAATATATAACAGATAAATAAAAAGTCCACAATACAGACAAATATCTGCGACTCTTTACACGACGAATACGTGATGCAAATGACCGAAAGGAAAACGCTAAACCAGACAATAGATAATAATACTAATTTACGCTACAAACAAAAGAGTAATAATGGGTCTACAATGATTGGGTGCAAGGCAGAGCACGATGCACTGCATACAGTGGCAAAATATACGACAAACGTACGTTTACAACGTAACACCCATGCACATCTGCATCTACGGACTACAAATTTTAAGTACCCCCTATTCTCGGTGATGGTCGCTACGTTTTTACTGTCATTGCGAGTTATGATCCTTTCCCACTTATATCGGTCATTTTCTTTCGATGAAATAACGCAAACGTAGTCGAATGTACGGTGGTTAGTGGACGATGGGAAAGAAAAGTGGTCGTACATGAATTAATCAAGTCATTGTTAAATCAATCGTACAAGACATGAGAGAGGTGCTTTGAGAAAGACGAATAGATAAGAAAAAAACAAAGAGCGAGAAACGATTTCGACTGGACGAAAGCATGATTTTGGAACAAGTTATTTACAGCACTTTCTACTCTTGTATTATTGCGTCATAATGGTATCTACACCAATACAGGTTGTTTTCCTCGATCTTTGTTAATGGATAAAATTCAAATTAATCACTTCGGGTTTGCAGTGAGTTCGTCTTCATTACTATGCATAACGTTAGGATGTCGCTATTTCGGAGCAAATGGCGATAGAACCTCTTTCACTTCATAGTGTGTTCTCCATGTATGTGTTTAGGGGTGAAAAATTCGATGGGTGGAAGTGTCCATAGATCCGAATATCTGTGAGTGCAAATGTTCATGGGTGCAAATGTCCACGGGTGCAAATGTACGTGGGTCCAAATGTCCGTGGATGCAAATTTTCATGAGTGCAAATGTCCGTGGGTGCAAATGTACATGGGTCCAAATGTCCGTGGGGGCAAATGTCCGTGGGTGCAAATGTACATAGGCGCAATCTGTATGTGGGTGCAAAAATCTGGGGGAGCAAGGTATGGGTGCAATTGTTTATGGGTTCAAATTTCCGTGAGTGCAAAAGTATGCAGGCGCAATTGTCCTGGGTGCAAATGTACGTGGGTTCAAAGATAATGAAACCGTTTTACTTCATTCGTCGGCATTCTGTTGTAGATAGAAAATTGTGAAAGCCCGTAGGTTTAAAAAAAAACACATTTTGTATCCTGTTATGGATGAAAATTATAAATGCTGGTAGACTGTAAAAGAATTACATTCTGTATCCTGCAATTGGTGGTGTTAACTCAGGACTGCTATCGAGCATACCCGTCTATTCAATCGAGATAAGCAAGCTGAAATCCACAAGCCCACAATACACAACTTTAAACACATTGTATTGTAATGTGTCGTGAAATTATCAAGCACTCGCTCACCACAAAATATACAGTCGAGATGTCAGATGCAGCCAAATGGATTACGGAAACAGATGAAGATATAAACAAACACAATATAAACATTTTCATCAAATTAGACTCCTACATAACTAGTAAGATACAATAAACTACAGTAAAATCACCGAGAATATTTCACAAAAACAATAAAAATGCAAGACAGATTCACAAACTATAGTTTAATAATCACGAGTTCAATGCAGGAAGTATTAAACTATTAGCAAAGCTAAATAAGCATGAAACAAAACCATAATTAGCCGGGCAGCCCACTATATTAGTGACTTACTCCATGTATAATCATTATTATTTAATACATTTCTTGTTTGTCTGCTTGGTTTGGAGAGGAGTCTTTCACGTTTGACCGGTGGTATACTGAGGTTACTGCCATAAGCATGGGGAGGGAAACCACAGAAGCAGCTAGAGGTACCAATATTGCAATAGTCTCATTAAAAGTCTCCATCAAAACTCTTTCCACCATAATGAAAATACTCTGGAACACGAGCATAGGTATGTGATGAGCACACATCAATGTTACTTATTCTGCGGGATAGGTAACCTCTGTTAAATATTCTACAAGAGTTACTTCCGAAAATCCACGCAGTCCCATCGTTAACGGATACAAAAATGTGAGCGCTTTCAAGCACATGTGCAAGTAATATAGAAATGCAGCTTGGTATAAGTCCAGCAATAGCTGGAAATAAAAAAAAAGTAGTTTTAAAGTTTAGAAAACCTAGTTTCAATTGAACCGCGTTCGGGATAATAATTTGGAATTCCCTCCCTCATACACATATAGTAGAGATGGGAAAATTACGGCCCGCCAAAGTGTTTCATCCGGCCCACTTGTGTCTGCTGAAATTACGACTATAGTTATTATGGATATAAAATTACGTTGAAAATAACGTCATGATGCCCCCGATTGTTAAATTGTGCTTCTTATTGTTACATAAAACGTTAGCCTAGTCTATTATCTGCGACTGGCCCACTCAGAAAAGTAATCGCGCACCCCATAGAGTGCTGTAATAAAAATTGAAAAGACAAGCGTTCCAGCAGTGCTCTATGACTTTAAAACCACTACTAATACAAAATGATTTAATTCCATATGTATATTGTCACAATTTATACGCCATGAATGCATTTATATATATATATACATCAATATATATGCTGCCATTGAGACCAATGGACAAATTTATTTCATCTTGTTTCAACCAGGAAACCAATAACAATTTTCCTTCAATGTATACTTACGCGAAGCACTAAATAACTTGTACCGTCCAAATCTATCCATTAGCGGCCCAGCTGCTACGGAGAAGAAAACAGCAAGCATGTTGCCTACAATTCTAATTGTTCTTGGGAGTGACTCTGGAACATCTGGAAACGTTTTCTTCAGTGACGATCCGATGATAACTTTTGTCAATGCAAAATAAGATGTGTCAAGAGACACTATAATTGTTACCAAAACAAAACTAATATTTCGGTGATGTGATGCAGTTTTCTTCATGCTTTCGAGAATGTTTTCCATACTCATTACAGTTCTTTTTTTTTTATTTAATTCGTTTAAAAAATTTTCTTGAGATGCACTGCATTGATGGGTGATCTTTGGCATATGAGCAGACAAATATGACGCAAATTAGCAAAAACGATGAAATAATCTCAAAACTCATTGCAAAAACACTTTGTCAGAATCAAACCTTCCTTTCGAACTTTCGAGTACGTCATTCAATGTACCGAGTGCCACGTTTTGGGTTGGATCCCTCGTTCTGGTTGTCATGTCATTATTTCACAATCATATCAGAGTTCGAGCACAGTGTATCATTTTAACAATTGGTGGACTTTTGGGCGCAATAACGGTGGCAATAAGATTTCTACATAAGTATTAAAGCTAATATGAGATTTATATAAAACCTATGTAAAAGATAAATTGTATGATCTCGAACATCACACACCACACCACTATATTTTGTTGAATATTTATTTCCAATTATTGATCATCTGTGATGGATATTTTAAATTTGAATCATAGCTTATGGGACATGTTAAATATATAATTTGTTTTCGGTATATTTTTACCAGAATAAACACAAAAAGTGTTGTACAATATCAAACAAAGTCCCGCTTTTCAGACATTTGAAAAAAATACACATATATTCTCGAATTCCTAAATATGTCAAACCTTTTTTAGCGACTTCTACTATTTCGTTCTGATGGGACAAATTTTCATCGGAATTTCGGCAGGAATATCATACGTCATTCCGGCAATTTTGGCAGCAAACTGGATTTCTGAAAAAGAAGTCGGGACGTCAATTGCGATCGAATTCAGTGCAATTCATGCTGGTCAAATGTTATCATCTCTGCTATATACTTTGCTATTGAATGACGTACTGGACAGTTCGAAAGGAAGGTTTGATTCTGACAAAGTTCGAAATGTTTTTGCAATGAGTTTTGGAATTATTTCATCGTTTTTGATAATTTGCGTCATATTTGTCTGCTCATATGCCAAAAATCACCCACCAAGTCCGCCAAGTGCATCTCAAGAAAAAATTTAGAACGAAATAAATCAAAAAAGGACTGTATTGAGTATGGAAAACATTCTCGAGAGCCTGAAGAAAACTGCATCACATTACCGAAATATTAACTTTGTTTTGATAACAATTATAGTGTCTCTTGACACATCTTATTTTGCAATGACAAAAGTTCTCGTCACATCGTTACTGATGAAAACGTTTCCAGATGTTCCAGAGACACTCCCAGGAACCATTAGAATTGTAGGCAACATGCTTGCTGTTTTCTTCTCCGTAGCAGCTGGGCCGCTAATGAATAGATTTGGACGTTACAAGTTATTTAGTGCTTTGCGTAAGTATACATTGAAGACCAATTGTTATTGGTTTTCTGGTTTAAACAGGATGCAATAAATTTGTTCATTGGTCTCAATGGCAGCATATATAGTTGATGTATATATATATAAATGCATCATGACGTATAAATTGTGACAATATACATATGGAATTAAGTGATTTCGTACTGGTAGTGGTGGTAAAGTCATGAAGCACTGCTGGAACGTTCGTTCTTTAGTTTTCATTACAGCACGCTATGGAGTGCACGATTACTTTTCTGAGTGGGCCAGTCGCAGATAATAGACTAGGCTAACGTTTTATGTAATAATAAGAAGCACAATGTAACAATCGGGGGCATCATGACGTTATTTTCAACGTAGATTTATATGCATAATTACTATAGTCGTAATTTCAGCAGACACAAGTGGGCCGGATGAAACACTTTGGTGGGCCGGT